TGGCTTCGTGAGAGTGGCAGATGCTCGAGACTATGGGATAGTTCGGGCTATGTTATATGGGTCAGGCTCAGGGTACTTTAGGGAGTATGGTGGCTACGCCGTCTCTACTGAGCAGGGTGATTAAGTCCCAGAGTCAGGATGCAGAGCTATCTATCATCCATCAGGGACCGAGTACGGTTAGGTACAGGTGACGAGGGCTGAGTCATTCACTCGGATGGTAGTCTTCGGTTTAGGAAAAGAATTGTGGTTCCCCATTCAGTGGAGCTCAGAGAAGAGATTCTTAGAGAGTTCCATTGTTCCCGTTTTGTTTTGCATCCAGGTGGCATGAAGATGTACCATAATCTTCGTCGCCAATATTATTGGAGCGGGATGAAGAAAGATGTTGAAAATTTTGTTAGCCAATGTCTCACATGTCAACGGGTTAAGGTTGAGCACCAGAGACCAGCGGGATTACTCCAGCCTTTGGAGGTAGCTGAATGGAAGTGGGAACATGTCACGATGAATTTTGTAACTCACTTGCCACGGACATCACGGGGTCATGATGCGGTGTGGGTGGTAGTGGACTGACTTATCAAGTCGGCACACTTTTTAGCGGTGCGGATGACCTTCACACTAGAGGAATTATGCGGGTTGTATATATGGGAGATTGTCTGGCTGCATGGAGTGCCTGTATCTATTGTATCGGACCGAGATCCCAAATTTATGGCTCATTTTTGGGAGAGTTTTCAGCGAGCCATAGGGACACAGTTAATGATGAGAACTGCTTTTCATCCCCAGATAGACGGTCAGTCTGAGAGGACTATCCAAACTTTAGAGGACATGCTACGGGCATGCGTCCTAGATCTCAAGGGTAGTTGAAAAGATCACTTACCCTTGGTGGAGTTCGCATACAATAATAGTTACCAGGCGAGCATACAGATGGCACCCTATGAGGCATTATATGGGAGGTCATGCCGTTCTCCAGTTTGTTGGACGGAGGTGGGAGAGAAATCTTCTCTGGGTCCGAATTTGGTTAGGGACACCTCTGAGAAGGTGGACTTGATATGGAAGTGTCTTCTCACTGCTCCGAGCCGACAGAAGTGCTACTCTGACAGACGACGACGACCTTTGGAGTTTGAGGTGGGAGATAATGTCTTCTTGAAGGTGATGCCTAGGAGAGGAGTGGTCAGGTTTGGTAAGCGAGGAAAACTGTCGCTGAGATATATCGGGCCCTTCGAGGTACTCAAGAGGGTGGGTTTAATGGCTTACCAGTTGGTGTTACCGCCAAATCTATCGGGTGTCCATGCGATTTTTCATGTCTCTATACTCTGAAAATACACCCCGAATTCGACTCATATGGTGGATTGGGGAGAGTTTGTTGTTGATGCTGATGGGACCTTCGAGGAGGGACCGATGCGCATCATGGATAGCCGAAAATAGGTTTTACGAGGCAAGATCGTACGGCTAGTGAAGGTGTTGTGGCAACACCGAGGAGTAGAAGAGGCGACATGGGAGCGCGAGAACACCATCCTTACCAATTATCCTTTCTTATTTGAGGATGGAGGTACATTCTTATAGTCTTTTAGCATTATATGACTGTTGCATATGTATGTGATTGTATGTGCATGTGTATGTGAATTTCGGGGATGAAATTCTTTTTAAGGGGGGAAAGAATGTGAAGCCTGGGAAAATTTGAACTTTTTATAAAAAAAAAAGGGTAAAATGGTAATTTTTTTATTATAGTGCAGGTTGAAAACTGGTATTTTCTAGACCTCGGATGATGAAACGGACCTCACCGTTGAATTCATCTCCCGAAATATAGTTACCTAGACAAATTTCGTCGAATTCCGAGATAATCGAGTTTTTCACGTTTTTCGAGGTGACGAGTGTCCGATGACCCCTAAAAAAGAAATTTTTATAAAAATTTTGAATTTAGAAAATATTTTAAATAAAGTTCATATAAAATATTTTGAACTTAAACCGGTACGAAATTTAATCGTTTCGGAGTAAAAAACGGACCCGAACAAAGGAGGACACTTGGCGCGACGAGGGCCAAGTCTTTAAAACTATAAATATGGGTAAAATATCTGAAATATCAGTTTTTTCCTCCCCTATGGCCGGCTGTATTAGAGATTAAGAGAGAAAAGAGAGCAAAGAGGGAAAAACCAAAAATCTTAAGCCTTCTCCTTCGATTTTCCGAAGATTCGTCGGTCGGAATCGCTCGAACTAAGAATTAAAGTTATTCTACGCGACGAGGGCTACGCGTGGGTGCCAAGAACGAAGATTTTCACAGAAGATCAAAAGGCAAGATTTTATAGAAATCAAAGTCTTGAGCTTTTGGGGGTGTTCTTGGAGGTTCTAGTATCCATTTACGTTTCAAGAGGTAGGGTTTTCCTACTTTGGTTCATTCTAACCTATGGTGTTCATTGGAGAGGGGTTTAAGCACGTGGAGTTGTATATCATTTGCATGAGGTTGGTGTTTTGGTGGATATGAGAAATGGATGGAATATACATTCTATCTTGAAGTGGTTTTGTTTTTTGTAATATGTGGTTACTTGAAATGGTTTGTAGAAATCACTTAGTATGATTTCTTGAGCTATGTGGATACTTGGAATGGTTATGTGAATATATTACTTGAGTGCCTTTAATGTGTTTGATAAAATGCCTTTGTGAAATAAAGTGTGTTAATTGCATGAGATTATGCTATAACATGCTTGGATAATGTGGTAATGTGAAATCATATGCTTATGATATGAATTATGATTGAAATGTACTTGTTTATATATGCATGTTTTGATATATATTGACATTGTGACAAATATGGTATTTATATGCTTAGGATATAATTTACATTGGATGTGTTAGAAATTATTTATATATCATTCATAGCATATTGAACATTATGTTATTGTGCAATGGTGCATCACATTGTATATGCACGGAAACATGACATCACATTTATGGGTATGGGTCATGAGTGTTGGTGTGTGTATGCATGGTTAATCAAACACCATTCTTGGTGATTTATGGGTGGATTCGGGAAAGTTGGGTTGAAAATCCGAATGAGTAACATGGTTGCATGAAAGAAAAACTTGTGTCGGGTATAGCAAGAAGGGGTAGATTCCCCCCTAGGGTGCAAGACCCGGCGACTTGGTTATACACTCCCCTGTGGTGAAATTCCAGAAAAGTGTAGTATGGTGTACGGAATCGGCGGTATTACATCCAAAATCCGTTGTCCAATAAGACACAAGATTTTGATTTACAAAGTACTCATACAATGAGTAACACCCATCAATGATTTGGTTTTATAATAAAACAACTTTTATTTCAAACGATCATTTGGTGGATATTTTTCGTCAATTGACGGATTCATTATACCTTGGCATTCCATTGTGTCATAGGAATCGGTGATGAGTTGGGTTTAAGTGCATGAGTGAATATCATTTCATTTCATGGCATGACATGATTACATTCCACATTTAATGCATATTCTTGTATGAAATGATTGTTAAATGTTGTTTGTTGCTTATACACACCACATATGCACCTAAGGTGGAGAGTAGCCTCTGTAGGGATTATTCTATTGGACGTTGACTCACCCTATACAGGAAAACATTTCATGTGGAAGAGATACACCGGTGGATGACTCCACTTTGGACCCTCATGTTTGAAGAAAGCCGAATGTGGCTTTATTTTGTGTTAGTGTAAAACATTTATGGAAATAATGTTTTGGGCATGTAATCTTTTGCAAATAATTGAAATAGAACTTATATAGACTATTATTAAACTAACCTTACATGTATTGATATAAATATGGATAATTGGACTCGGTGTGGCCAATGTTTACTTATATTGGACTCGGTGTGGTCATTGTTAAATATTGGATCTCGGATGGGTCTTGTTATTATATGATTACACAGGTTGAGTTTTGGGTAGAGCTTTCCGTATAAAGGAGACTCTGCTGAATTTCGTCAAAATTATGGTTCCCGATAAATGGAGCATAATGGCGTGATATCGAATTACTCGATATCCACGGGTATTTCGCGGGTTGATGGGTAATCAACGGACCCCCGAATTTTAAGGTGTTACAAATAGTCTTCGTAACATATGAACACTCGTATAGAGGATAAAAAATTATTACATTTTTTAAAATTACATGTAAGAAATTTTTTTTGAAATTGGTCGAAGGCTAATTTTTAAACTAAACATGGTATTGAATTGGATAGGTTATAGCATCCCCAACTGAGATGTCAAATGTTATATGTCAAATTTTATATGTCAAATTTATGTGATGACTAGGAAGTTGAGATATGCTAGGATTGAACAATGTCACGTGGACTTAAAAAATAAACTTTATAATTATAATCATTAATTTTACTGTGGGTCTTAACATTTATTTGAATGTACTATCTATTTAATGATTGTGATTATCAAGTCTATTTTTTGAGTTCACGTAACATTACTCGTTAAAATTTGATATAAGAGATAAGATATTTGACAGTATCAAATTTGGCATCATACTAAAATTTGGTCAACACAGTCATCATTTGACATACCACAGTCAACATTTGGTATAGCAGATGGAAGTGGAGGGGATGCCCAAAAAAAACCGTTAAAGTTCTCTGGTACTTGACAACGCGAATAGAGCTGTTCTTAGTGACAAAATAGTCAATGATACCATATTCCATCGCGCTTCTCTATAGGTCCAACAGAAGTATTATGTGTTATTCAAGCACCGAAAATGATAGGATATAACCATTAAATTCAAATCACTCCAAATGAGAGGAAAGTTTAAGTTGGATAAGAAATAATATTTTTTTAAGATCTGATTAGTCTGGTAGGACCTACTAATCATCCACGTTGTGTGCTGTGTTAAGATTTGATTAGTAAATAATTTTTAAGAATAAAGTTGGAGAAAACAAATTAAGAATTAGAACGTGCATTCATGCACTTCCCTTTGTTGCTCACATATAATTATCCTCCAAAAAAATCTTGACAGAAAAAAAACACCAGACGTTGAAATGGTTTCCAAGCCATCTGCTTCCAAACCAAAACCATTCGTTCTCGCTCTCATCATTCTCTCTCTAATCCTCCTCCTTGTAACCACCACTTTCCGACCAAACCCTCTTCAAAACCACCATATTCATCGCCTCTCCCCTCAACTATCTTACCATTTGCCAATCAAGCAGTACCACCCAAAATGGTACCATGTCATCAAAGAAGAAATCAAGGATAAAAACATAAAGATTGGTTTGGTTAACATGGATGAAGAAAGTGATGAACTGCATGGATTAGAAGAGGCGGTTCGGGTACGATTTGATCGTGTGGCTAAGAATCTTCAGTGGAAGGACTTCTTTCCTGAATGGATTGATCAAGATGAGATCTTTGGCCAGCAGAAGTGTCCGGAAATCCCAATGCCACGGGTCGGGGACCACCGGGGGATCAACGTGGTCGTAGCTAGGGTTCCATGTGGAAGAAGGGTTGAGAAAGAAGGTGTTAGGGATGTGCTCAGGTTACAAGTTAATCTAGTTATTGCTAATCTGTTGGTCAATAGTGGATCGACTGATCATGAAGTTGATCGGATGGTTTATGTTGTTTTTATCGGATCTTGTGGACCCATGTGGGAGATTTTTAGATGTGATGATCTCTTGTGGCATGAAGGAAAGTATAGGGTTTATAGGCCTGATTTGAGAAGATTGAAGCAGAAGGTTCTCATGCCTGTTGGGTCATGCCAGCTTGTACCTCCATTTTCACAAGCAGGTCAGTCTCTGGTTGTCTTTTGTGTTCATCTTCCAATTTCTAAGGAAACTTAGCATCACCAAAAAAGCAAACAGAAAAGAAAATAAGGGGCAAAAAGGGTCAGGCAATCAGAAACGCAAGGCTAACGTTTCTTCACCAAACCAATAATTAATTAAGATATATTTTTCCTTTTCACTTGGTTATGATCACTTTCCCTTTTAGCCTAAAGCATTTCCCAATGTATATTTATACGTATAAGTCGTGGTGACAAATCTAATATGGATATAAAGAAAAGTTTATCTATTTGTGCTTGATGAATGAGTTGGCTTATTCATTGCTTAGCATCAAATATTATTTTTTTCCTTGGTTGTGAATAAAGAGATTTGAAGTTGTGAAAATTGTGTCTAGTAATAGACTAATAATATATGAACTTAAAAAGTAGACTTAAAATGTGTATTTGATAATTACAATTATTGATTTCACTGTGAGTCTCACCATTTATTGGGACTCATTATATATACAATGATTATGATTATCAAGTATACATTTTAATTCTAATAGTAAGGATTAAAAAATTGATATATCATAACGTAAATATGAATGGATGAATCAATTTAGCATAATGGTTGGTGGCTTTTATTGCTACCTAAATTTCTTCTACAATTTGGGTTTTGGAAACTTTGTTACTAAGCAAGAGTAATGACACTTGAAAACATGCAACCCTGGTTTCTAATACATAACTGGTTTGGCCTTCTAAGTTTTGATTCATAGATTAATGGTGTAGGTGACGGGTGACCAATATATCACGGTTTAATTGAATACCTTTCCATTCCAAACTTGAAAAGTTAAACCTGTGGTTGATTTTTGTTATTGTGCACTGCTACCTTATAGTCTCTGCTTTGCAATTTTGTTGTCTCATATATCCTCTAATTATGAGGTCATATCAAGTGCACATAATTTTCGATTATGGCGATGTCTAAAGAAAAACAAGTGATAACCACACATACCCTATTTTGAAAGGGCTAATCCTCCGACTCAAACTTATAAGAGTAATACTATTTGAATTTAAAAATTTAATCTAATTTGTTGACATAATTATGTGGCTTCAGCAGAACCATTGGATCAACACTAAGTTACAATGTTTGATGGATCATACAGTCAATCCAAATGTCATAATGAATTATGTCAGCATATTATGTCAGTAAATTAGGTCTCAATAGCATTGCTCAACTTATAACATTCACATTTATCTCTTTTTTTACTTGGTTGTAATTCAAATTCAGGTCGAGAAGTATGGAGACGGCATGAAAATTCATTAACAAGTACCACCCTCTACCCACCAAGAGAGGCTTATGTGACTATCCTTCACTCTTCAGAATCATATGTCTGTGGTGCAATAGCTTTGGCCCAGAGCATAATTCAAACCAACTCCACCAAAGACCTAGTCCTCCTCGCCGACGACTCAATCTCCACCAAGTCCCTCCAAGGTCTCCGAGCAGCCGGATGGAAGATCAAGCACATCAAACGCATCCGAAGCCCTGGGGCCGAAAAAGATGCATACAACGAGTGGAATTACAGCAAGCTCCGAGTATGGCAACTAACAGAGTACGAGAAAATCATATTCATAGACGCCGATCTTATAGTTCTCAAGAACATTGATAAGTTCTTTGTGTATCCACAAGTATCAGCTGCTTCAAACGATAAGTTTTTGTTCAATTCTGGGGTTATGTTAGTTGAGCCATCAAAGTGCATGTTTGAAGCCCTAATGAAAAAAAGATTCACTTTAGCTTCATACAATGGTGGCGATCAGGGTTTTCTCAACGAGGTTTTCACGTGGTGGCACCGGTGGCCATCGAGGCTGAATCATCTGAAGGTATTTGGGAACAATAGTCTCGATAACCCGAAACATGAAATCTCCAAGAATCTGTATATGATACATTACTTGGGTGTGAAGCCATGGATGTGCTATAAGGATTACGATTGTAACTGGGACGTGAAGAAGCATAATTTGTTTGCAAGCGACTCGGCTCACCGGAGATGGTGGCAAGTTTACAGGGCCATGCCTAAGAAGCTGAGGCCGTATTGTGCTCCGAGTAAAAGTATGGATTCAAGGATAAGAAAGTGGAAAGTGAGAGCTAGAAACGGGAGTTTTCCTGATGGGCATTGGAAGATCAAAGTGAGAGATAACAGAAGGCATTGATTGTGATGATCTTCCTCAGAGCAAACAAGATCTTGGGTTCCACTGTTCTCTCCAAAATGAAGGTTGTCCATCGCAGAGACCGAGAGTGAGCTTTATTTTTGTGGTTGTTTTGGTATTTAACACTCGTAGAACTTTCCCCTCCTTGGTTAATCAGTTTATGTTTGGGCAACTTTTATGTCGTCATTGGGGGAAATTAATAGTCAAATAAACAAATTTGTAATTCTTAAAATGTAAGTAAGCATAGTATATAAAAGTTAATTATAATTTTATGCGTCTAATCATTTGACCTATTTTGTTAACATAATCTACTATGGTAGATCAAGTTAGCAACTTCAAAAATACTTTTCAATCTTACTTTACTCTCCTTCATTTTCATGAAAATTCTCAAACTTTTTTTGACCACTAATGTTATTGAGACATAATTTATGGACATAATTTGAGGACATAATGAGTTATCACCAATGAAAAGATCATCCAAGTTCTGCTATTGTTGAGAAGGAACAAAAACATAAACCAAGAAGGATTACACTAAAACAACCACCCACAAATTATCGGAACTATTATTGCCTCTGGTTAAGATGCCTTCAGTTTTTCTTTCCAAGTTCGCCTACCGCTGGAAAGTTTTATGGCAGTGCTTGCAAGGCTGGCCTAGACTTTGCCATCTTAGTAATGGTCTTGGTCTTCTCCTCAATTTTGTTCATAGAATTAGTATTTGAAATCTGCAATTTCTCTTTCAACATTTTTTTCCAACTGCCTCAGACTCATATCTTATATATTATTGGGCGATCCATTTATAAGGGTAATGTTCCATTTAGGAAAATAGTACAGGAAGATATCTGATCCCCAACTAAGGATGCTAGATGTTACTTTAAACACTAATTAATGTGGGGTATTGCCTAGCTTGTAATATGAGGGTGAATATTTGGTAATAACTGAAAAAAGGTAAGATATAGGCAAAAATACAATTCACCCAATCAGTCACCACCTTCAAATCCACTAATAATTTTAATGTTCATATACTTTTTTTTTTTGTACAATGAGTGATAACATGGGTTAATTTTATGAGTAATGCTACTTACACTTTACTTTGTATTTTAACTTCTTGTTATTATACTGATCATGGGTCTCCGTATGAGATAGGTCCAATGTCATCTAATAAATTAGATCAACACACCAAGTGTAAACAATAGTGCTTTCTTCTTTCCCTTTTTCAAAGAATTGACTTGACCGTCGAAGGGGGTACGCCGAAAAATACTCCGTCGCCCTTCTAACTTGCTTTCTGTGTGCCAGAAACCACTCGTGACCTGCTGGAATCGATCAAGCAATCCCTGAAGTAATTTATCACCACTCCTTAGGCCCCTTTGGCCGCATTTGCTCTTCCTTTGCCACGGGATCATCGACTTTCTCGACGAACTCGAGTTCACCACGAAAGATATCTGTCTTTTTATCTATTGTACGAAAATCACCGCGCACAATCTGGCTCTGTTTGTGGAAAATTGACCAAACTTCTCGAAGAACAGTGACCATGGTGCAAACTCATCAAAAGGGAAAAGGTCCTCAGCAAAAGAATGTCATCTTACCAACTCCCTCCATAACAAGAATGAAGGACCATGTTGAAAGTGTCAACAAAGAACTTTCTGTTCACTCTAGGGAGCAAACCCACCAAATTAGTACGGGTATCGGGTTTGAAAAATCCAACCCGTTGGCCCGTCAGTTGACTGATGTGATAGAGGAAAAATTCGAGGATCGTTTACGACAGTTAGGGGAGGACAACATGAACGTCCTAAATCGACTTGATGAATTTGCATCCTCTGGTGGAGAATCTTGAGACTTATGGCAATCCCGAGAACCCTTCGTCAGGGACGTGGTACCTGGGGACTTGAGAAACCACCTGAGCAGCAGGGCGGGGAATTCCAAGGCACCAAAAAGCCCGAGAGCCAAGGGACAGCTCTTGGAGGTTCCAGCCAAGAGGGCCAGACCATTGGCTTGGAATAACCTCAGTCAAAGACTGTTCGGGCAAGGGGGCGTGGAGGAATCCAAGGATGGTTTGACCCTCTCCGCCCAACACCCTAGGACAGGTGAGCACATTGACCGACGCCAAGACGATGGAGAAGTGCACCCCAAGTAGAAAGAAAACCTCAGGGCACGTCTGGATTCCATAATAAAGAATAAGGCCACACAAGAAGATGACAAGGATAACGAAGGTATTCAGTCGCCCTTCACAAGGAGTATTGTGGAGATGAAGGTACCAAAGAAGTTTGTGATACCAACGTTCAAAGTTTATGACGGGTGTTCTGACCCGGAGGCCCACCTCGGACAATACAAGGAAATGATGTCCCTGTACCACTCGGACCACCGCCTATTAAACTGAGTGTTCTCAATGAGCCTCGGAGATTTTGCCATAAAATGGTTTAAGATCCTTCCACCCAACAGCATAGGGTCTTGGAAAGAACTAACTAGGCGGTTCTCTGTCCAATTCATCACTAGGAGTAGACGGCCCAAGGACGTTAGATCACTACTAACCCTGAGACGGAATGAAGGAGAAACACTTCGCCAGTACACCCCTCGCTACTAGGAGGAGGTAAATGAGGTGGAGGGATGTTCTGAGGTCATGGTGGTCGCCTCCTTCAGGTTGGGCCTTACACGGGACACTGACCTCTATTTGTCCCTGACTAAGAAGACACTAACAAATATGGGCGAGTTGATGGCCCGAATCAACAAGTACTCTCGGATAGAGGATGAGGTGTTGGGGGCAAAGGAAAACCTTAGCCCCCAAAGAAAAGGGAAAGAGAGAAAGAGAAGGCCCCTCCTCGAAAGGGTCTAGTACCTCCGTTAGGAGATTCTTTCAAAGGGGTCCATACAGTGTTTAAGGAGCCTATTTATAAACTGCTCCACAATATCAAGAAAGAGCCCTTCTTCAAATAGCCGCCTAAGATGCATGGCAATCCGACCGCTCGGAACCAAAAGTTAAGATGTTCATACCACCAGGACGTGGGACATCTCATCAAAAATTGTAGAGTCTACAAGTCTTTCCTGAAAAGACTAGTGCAAGATGGATATCTGAAGGAATACATCAAGGAAGCGACGCTAGTGGAGGCCCCTAGGACCAATAATCAAGTCACTGCCCGAGGCAATGTCATTGATGTCATCCACGTTTGTCCACTAGACCGACTGACGTCCAACACCTCAGATCTAATCTTAAGAGGATAGCTTTTTCTAGGACGATGGACGAAAGAGATGGGGGACGGCCCAACAAGAAGTCCCAGATGGATAAGGAAGATATCACCTTCTCTAATGCCGACCTGCCTGGCGTGTTCCTCCCCCATGAGGATGCCTTGATCCTAACTTTGAAGATTGGAGACTTTGATGTTAGGAGGGTCCTCCGAGAGTTCCTCAGAGGTGATGTACTTTGAAGCCCTGAAACGTATGGGTCTTGGTTCCTAGGGTCTTGCCAAAGTTAGCATGCCTCTCGTAGGATTTGATGGCTCGTATGCCTTACCCTTGGGAAAAATCACACTATTAGTTACCACGGGGCCCGTTACGACCAACATGGAGTTTGTAGTGATCGAGTTCGATTCGCCTTATAATATAATCATGGGGCGGGCATGGTTGCACGCACTTGGGACGGTGCACTCCAACTATCATCAGAAGCTGAAGTTCCCCACCCCTTAAGGGATAATGAAAATTCGTAGGGGCCAGACATCTACTAAAAATTGTTTCTACTCGGCGGTAAAGGTAGGGTCACATCTAGGGAGAATGAGGGAGCCCCGGAGGAGGTCCTGAACAAATAGCAATTACAGTCTGAGCGGTTTGGAATTGATGAGTTGTGGATTGATCGGGCGGATCATTTAGTGGAAGATCTCCGGAAGGTCCTTCTGGTGGAAGGAGATGAAGAAAAGTACTTCCTGGTCGGCTCCACCATGTCCCCAGCCAAGCAGAACGAGATGACTAACTTTTTAAGAAAGAATGTAGATATATTTGCATGGGAAGCTAAAAAAAATGAAAGGGATAAGCCCCGACGTTATTACTCATAAACTTTATGTTGACCCCGCTCACAAGCTAGTGAAGCAAAAACCCCAACGTACAATGCCGCATCACACCCAGGCAATAAATGACGAAGTGGAGAGGCTCCTGGAAGCCAATACCATCCTAGAGGTGCAATTTTTGGAATGGCTATGAAATACGGTGTGCGCGAAAAAGAAGGATGAAAAATGGCGCGTTTGCGTGGACTTCACCAATCTGAGCAAAACTTGCCCCAAGGATGACTTTTCCCTCCCAAAGTGGACCAGCTGGTGGATGCCACTGCAGGGCACCAGCATATGACCTTCATGGATGCTAGGGCTGGCTACCATCAAATTTTCCTCCATCCACCTAACCAGGAGAAGATTACCTTCATTACTCCAAGAGGGGTTTATTGCTACATGGTCATGCCTTTTGGCCTAAAGAATACGGGAGCCACGTATCAAAGAATTATGAACCGAATGTTCAAGCGACAGATAGGGAATACCATGGAAGTGTATATCGATGACATGCTGGTCAAGAGTAGGAGGAAGGATGATCACCTTACGAACCTGGAAGACACCTTCTCCACTCCCCGAGAGTACGGACTAAAGCTGAATGCGGCAAAGTGTGTCTTTGGAGTTGGTTCCGGGAAGTTCCAAGGATATTTGGTAAGTCGACGTGGAGTCGAGGCCAACCCAGAACAAATACAAACCATCATGGATGTACAAAGCCCTCGGACAGTCCGGGAAGTTCAAAAACTCACATGAATGTTAACTGTGCTAAATTGTTTCATTTCTCGGTCGTTGGACAAATGTAGGTCCTTTTTTAAGGCTATCAGAAGATCCAAGAAAGATACATGAGGTCATGGATGTGAAGAGCTGCTCAAAGAAATCAAGGAGTACCTCAGGGTCCTCCTAACCCTTTCCGTCTCGGTGGAAAGAGAGATGTTGTTCCTTTACTTAGTCATATCAAAGTTCCCTGTCAGTGGTGTACTGGTC